GAGGAGTCTGGCACTGCCCGACGCGTGGCTGTCAGCAGGACAGAGCCGGCCTGTCGCGGCCCTCATCATGCTTCTTCGCTGGCTCTGTCTGAGTGCCACAGCACTAAGGGTTCACCTGTGTCTCCCCCCCGCCTCTGCAATCCCCGGCAGCCGGTCACCCTCCGTCTGCTCCTGAGTGCCAGGGGCTGACGTGGTGGGCAGGGCAGGCACAGGAAACGGCAGGGGCCCTCGCCCTGAGCACGGCGTCAAGGCCGAGGCGCAGCGCTGCGTCTGCAGCCAGTTCCCAAACTGCACCACGTGGGCAGGAGCTACCCGGAGGCTGGCAGAGGCCAGAGCACGACAGCCACGGAAGGCTGCCGGGTCTTCGGCATCAGCTGTTCATTCGCATCTTGAAGACAACATGCCAAGAGTAGGGGAGGTGAGGCGGGAGAGCAGGAGGGAGGGGGTGGTGAGCAGGACCACCCTGGGAGGGCCCCAGAGGACACTGCAGTAAGTCGCTGGCACCCCGCGGCTCAACACCCAGCTGCCTGCAAACATGCCCAGGGCAGCTGCAGCCGTGTCCCGGGCACAGCGGGAACTCTGGGGGCGAGAGTCCTCCCACCTTCTGGCAGGGATCACTTTAAGGCACATGAAACAGGGACACCTTCTCAGGAAGTAAGGTTAACTTGCATGACGAGTTTCAGGCTACACACCCGCCCCTGGGAGGGCTTCCTCGGAACCCGCACAGCACAGGCGAACGTTCGCTGCCTGCAGACGGCACGGAAGGAGAGGCCCAGACGGCCGAGTCTCTCCCTCGCCCCGCAGGTGTCGGAGTGACTCGCCGCAGAGGTAAGTGGCCACCCGTGCAAAGGGCCGGGTCAGTGGTCCTGCCCTGAAGTCCAGAGCCCGCGGCCTCTGATGAAACTGGGAACGGGTCAGGAAGTGAGTTTACCTTACCCAGGAAGCACTGTTCTCATTTTGTTTAGAGCCCAGAAAATTTTTTTTTTCTTAAATCAAATAATCCCAAAATAGAAAATATGTAAGAATTGCTTTATTTGAAGGGCTGGTAGAAGCTTAACGTCAAGTTCATTAGACCCAGCCCCAGAAATCCGGGGCTGCACCGAACACCTTGAAAACCACAGCACAGAGCCTGACTACAAACCCACAGCCCTGAGGGACCAGGGCTCTGGGGGAGCAGAGGGAGCCTCCGTTGTTGAAGGGAAAAAGACATGGGGTTATTCTGTCCAGTTCCCGAATGTGCCAACAATAACACAGGCCTTCCTTGGAAAATTTCTATCTGGGAACTCTTCAAATGCACAAGTAGGAAAAACGAGGCCACCCTCATGCTTTGTTACAAAACCACACGATAAATACCTTCCCCCAAAGATGGAGCAAGTGCTTAAATGAAAGTCCATGAGAAAATGAAGTTGGCAAAAGCATTTAAATGAAAACAGCCCAGCCCAGCTGGTAGTGTGCTGGGTAAGGCGCTGAATCCCACACGGCCAACTGTGTGGTTTGTCTTGAATGCAGTGGCTTGAGAAACATGCAAGGTGCATGTGTGTGCTGCCCGAAATCCCGAAAGGAGAAACGGAGGGCGGGGCCGCGGCCTGCTCATCCCCCACAGGGCACTTCCCTCTACCGGCGGCCGTGAAAGGAGGGGAGAAGGCATACCTTAGCACCACCACTCAGGGAGAACCCAGTCGGACCAGACACATCGCCAAGTAAATACTGCAGCGGGACTGGCAGGTCTCCTTTAATGCCAATACAGCGGCTGCAGGTCGGGGCCGCCCGGTCTCTAATCGAGTCCACAGTGCACAGGCGGAGACGTGACCACGCCTGTCGGAGGACACTGCCAGGGTGCCGAGATCGGAAAAGGGACGCGCCTTCACTTGATCGTCTGCTCCAGAAGAAACATCACCACACGCGCGACAAGGTCGCCAGGTGCCATGAGGTGAGCTCCATTTTCAGGTAAATTAATTTTTCCTCTCAAAGGTATAAATAAGATGGGGACAGAGAGCCCCAAGCTGAAGAACCTCCCTTAAATCAATACATTTCTAGAAAGCAAGAGAAAACACTTGAAGGAAGAGCGCCCGCTTTGTGGTTTGCTAGGACTGATTTGAGAAAGCAAATACACTTGATTTTAAAGGAACATCAGGACCAGCCAGGGCCTGGTGGTTAGGGTGGCTGGTCCCGTCCAACTGGCATGCCGTCTGGAGAAGTGTGGCGGGCCCTGGGCGTGCGCACACCTAAGTCTGGAAAGGAAAGGGAGATGAGAAGGGATTGCAGGACACGGCTCCCCCCACGGGGATGCTTTCTCACTCCCTGCCCACCACCCCAGCCAGCCCACCTCTGGCAAGAAAAATATAAGATCCTCTCAAAGGAACAACTTGTAGAGTTGGCTAATACATGGCCTTGCTAAACAAGTAATAATAGATTTTTTGGGAGAGGTTTTTGCTATAGGGTGCGTGCGCTCACCAGTAAGAGACAGAAAGACAGAGAGAGAAGTCATCCCCCAGGGGGATGGCCCCGCCACAATCCCTCCTCCTCCATTCTGCTCTCGGGATCTTGGGCATGTATACACACGCACCTGGTGTGAGTTGAAGTCACCCGGTTAGGGATTCGAACTGTGGTCGACTACATGGGAGTCCAGCGACATAGCCATTACGCTAACTGCTGGTCCCAGTACTAATAGATTTCACAACAGTAACATTTTTCCCAATGTTTCTGTGGCCTACTGACTCTCGGGACACTGACACGGACGATTTGTCTTCACTATACAGTCCACAGGACATCTTTATGAGCCAGAGAAATAACAGAAAAGCCTTGGAACTTCTGTTTCTTTTTATGCATTTTTTTTACACTTCCAAAGAGAATACACTGTTAACACTGTTGCATTCACAGTGGCACTTTATTTTATAGAGAAGGCGAGTGATCACTGGAGACAGAAAGTGAGAAGTCACCCCCAGGGGTGATGGCTACACTGCAACCCCTTCTCCACTCTCAGGATTTTGGGCATGCACACACACACACAGTATGAGTTTTGAGCCACTGGGTCTGGGACTTGAACTGCAGTCAACTACGTGCGAGCCCAGTGATGTAAGCATTATGCCACTTGCTGGTCCCTACTCACTTTTTAAAATTTTGCCTACAGGTATGTACGCTGTATAGGCAGTCTGCTCTCTCCTCAGGCGGTAACTGCTAGTCGGAGTCCTCCCCATGGCCGATCTGCCTTCTCAATGCCACATGCTCTACGGACCTGATGCCAAGCTAAACAGGTCATTTACGAGGTGGCCCAGCCATTCGGAACAGGGTGAGGTGAGGTGGACGGGGTCAGCACTGAATGCCAGAGTACATGCCAACCCCGGCGTGGCATTGAGGAAACTCCAACGTGAACGCACGTCTCTGCAGAGCCTGGTGTGTCACCGACTTACCTGCACGACACTGGACGCTGGGCAGGACCCTGTGAGTGCCCACTGCTCGTGGCCTCCTCTCCTCTCTGTGTGGGAAGCCTTCCTTTCCATCACCTCCTCTTTTCTGTTAAGTAAAGGTTCAAAAACTTCATTGACCCAAATCACCACGCCCAACGACTTTGGAAACAGCGAGTAAGCAAAACCGGAGTCTTGGTTCGGCTCCCACAAACACATCATGCTGTCTGAGGGCTCATTTAATTCTGGGAGTGAAATCGCACCCCCACGGATTCCTGTTACTGGAAAACGCATTCAAAGACACACACACATAGCTTTAAACCAACGCGGTGGTTTTTATTGATGGGCGACAACTGTGAACTCCTAGGTACCACTACACCGTGTACAATGAGGGATGCGGCGTCACAGGAGAGCGGACAGAGCAGTAGAGAAATACCAGTCTTCGTCAGTTTGCCCATTTCTCACTATGTGCACAGAGGCTGAGTGCAGTTGGACATCTCGGAATGGCAACAGCTACAATCGCCCATCCTACGTAGGCTGACGTCGTAACGCGGACAGGCCTGCAGTGCGTGCAGAAGCAGTTTCTCATCGCACAATTATTAAAATGTCTTTCTCTTGTTAGGAACCAGCAACTTATTTTTTGTTTTCATTTCTTCCTTGAAGTAAGAACTATTTCTTCTCTGATAACTTGCTCATTTTTATCATTTATCAAAAACTAAAGGGTGGGGAGGAAAGTGTGATGGACTAAAAAATTTATTTCTTAAGGAAAGATAAAATTCATTTTCACAAATTTACAAGTGTTGCTGCTGGCACGGGGTTTACTGTACTAAGCAATGAGACTGGGACTCAAAAGCGAGCTGTCCTTTCTATTTCAGGAATGAGCATCATTTCGGAAACACGGGTTTTGTGTATCTTAACTCGAGCGACAGTCTGTTTCCAGATGCCTCTGATTTGGAAGTTGGAAGTCGACACGAGCCGTGTTGCGCACAAACCCCAGGGCGTCTCCTTTTTGTTTCTAACCCATTTCTGCAAAGGGGAGAAGTTTCTCTCTAAAGAGCCACGAGCGCGGCAGGAAGTGAGTGCGAGCCGGAGGCGTACAAGCGGGCAGGGGCGGGGGGGGCCGGCGACAGCAGGAAAACGCATTCAAAGACACACACACATAGCTTTAAACCAACGCGGTGGTTTTTATTGATGGGCGACAACTGTGAACTCCTAGGTACCACTACACCGTGTACAATGAGGGATGCGGCGTCACAGGAGAGCGGACAGAGCAGTAGAGAAATACCAGTCTTCGTCAGTTTGCCCATTTCTCACTATGTGCACAGAGGCTGAGTGCAGTTGGACATCTCGGAATGGCAACAGCTACAATCGCCCATCCTACGTAGGCTGACGTCGTAACGCGGACAGGCCTGCAGTGCGTGCAGAAGCAGTTTCTCATCGCACAATTATTAAAATGTCTTTCTCTTGTTAGGAACCAGCAACTTATTTTTTGTTTTCATTTCTTCCTTGAAGTAAGAACTATTTCTTCTCTGATAACTTGCTCATTTTTATCATTTATCAAAAACTAAAGGGTGGGGAGGAAAGTGTGATGGACTAAAAAATTTATTTCTTAAGGAAAGATAAAATTCATTTTCACAAATTTACAAGTGTTGCTGCTGGCACGGGGTTTACTGTACTAAGCAATGAGACTGGGACTCAAAAGCGAGCTGTCCTTTCTATTTCAGGAATGAGCATCATTTCGGAAACACGGGTTTTGTGTATCTTAACTCGAGCGACAGTCTGTTTCCAGATGCCTCTGATTTGGAAGTTGGAAGTCGACACGAGCCGTGTTGCGCACAAACCCCAGGGCGTCTCCTTTTTGTTTCTAACCCATTTCTGCAAAGGGGAGAAGTTTCTCTCTAAAGAGCCACGAGCGCGGCAGGAAGTGAGTGCGAGCCGGAGGCGTACAAGCGGGCAGGGGCGGCGGCGCCGGGCTACAGCAGGTTCACGCGGCGGTAGTACAGGAGGTAGGCCGCGCGCTCCGCCGCCGGCTTCACCACCTGGTGCTGGCTGACCGCCCGCACCGTCTGGTCGTCGATGCGCAGCCACCCGTTGAGGCCGATCTGGAAGACGTCCGTGGTGTAATGGCCGCCCGTCGCGCTGCTGCCGTGATGGTAGACCACTGGAAGAGACGGCCGCAGGGGCCCGTGAGCAATGCCCAGCCTGTCCAGGGGACCCCTGCTTCCCACTAACACACCACCCGCCACAGTAGGTGCTGAGAGCACAGGGTCCAGTAAGAAGTGAGACAGTTTAGGGCACACACATCTTCCTAACACGTAACATGCCCACACCTCCCAGACACTGCCCTCTGCGGCTGGCAGCAGCACGTGCTGGTCAGCCTTCGGACACATCCTCTTGAGATCAGGTTCCTGCCCTTGGTCTGGCCAGCTCTGCTCCTAGACCGCCCTAAAGACGTGACTTGAGTCTTGCACAGGGATTATGATGTTAGGAACAGTGGAATACTGGAAACCCAAATGCTCATATGAAGAATCAGACACTGACTAGTACGTTTTGTTAGGACAACGTGAATTTTTCAGCCTAGACTGGCACTGTCTGGTGGTGCAGGGATCTGTTAGGGAACATGACATGTGAGGCCCGGAGGCTGAGCGTTCTGTGGACTGGCTGTCCCCTGCGGCTGTGAGGAGGAACACTGCGTGCCTATGCCCCTCGAGAGGGATGCCAGACTGACTGTTAACCATGGCTGTCTGAGCATGTGACGCTGAGGGGCCTTGCTGAGATGGTACTCTGCAATTGTTACCATTTTTTTATGTCAACGTTTTAATAAAAAAATATTACTTGTTATTTACTTCTTTAAAGCCAAATAATAATAATACAGAAAGAAATCCTGTCATTGAACTTAGAAGCCTCAAAGGCGTAAACAAACACGACTGTCCAAAGGTGTAGAGCAGATGCTAGAAGACACCTGCAGGACACACGTCCCCACTTCTAGGAAGCAGGGGTGAGGCCACCTGGCCACAGATGTCACCAGGAGAGGGACACAGCCCAGTGCATTGCGGGAGGGCAGGCAGCATTGCCCATTGAGTAGCACCCTATCACCGCCAACTTGCCACACGTTGGCAGATTTGAGCAGAACAAGCCTTCGCTGGTTTCTGGCCACAGGGGCATGTCCAGGAGCTGCCTGAGCCCGCCAGGGCCAGGGCCTGGGGTGTTGACAGCACAGCACTCAGGAAGGCCAGCGGGCTTGGTCTCTGGTCGGAATGCGGGACTCTGCACAAAGAAGCCCTCTGCACTTGGGTCCCAGAGGAGACCTGACAAACATGACCACTCAGCGAGACTGAGGACAGTGTGATGGGAAGGCTCGTGGCCACCAGGAGGCCACTGCATTCAAGTGACCACCAAAGGGCGTGGATGTCCCTCAGAACCCAGACTCACTCTGGGACTGCAGTCTGGGGTTTTCACCTCGAAGGCCTGGTGTGGGTGAGAGTTGTTTCAAGGTGCCCCAGCCACAGACTCTGAAGCAAGTGTGCTTCCAGATCGACCTCCATCCATGACTCCAGAGAGTGGCAGGCCCCCCCCCCCC